CTAATTCCTTATTAGTTATGCAGTAAGTAAGAAACAGTATTCTAAAGTGTTACCATAAAGTCAAACAAGTGTTAAGAATCAGGTTTGTGAGAAATATAAATATTGTAGCTTAGCTTGGTCATGTACCGGTCTGAAAGTAAGTGGCTTTCCTTGAGAAAGGAAGTCTGCATATTTGCAGATAAAAGCACCACAGTCATTTCCATTTGGCTGTTTGGGAATTGCCTAGAAACAAAATTCCAAGTAAGTATAACGGTAAACAAAAGGGCACAGTTTAAAGAATATTTGTATAACTTATTATATGAGGGCATGCATACGTTGGTTCTTATTCGGCCGATGGTCCATCTGGAAGCCTCAAAGCAGCAGGCTTTTTTGATTTTGTTCTCCTCCATGAGGTATTTCCTGTTAAATAATCACACGAGACATGCATACATGCCTTCAAAGCCGTTTCAGGTTAAAACCAAAGTTCTAATTGGACATAACTCACAACAATATCTGGCAGATCTCATCATGTCTCTGACCATGGAGTCATAGCACTGGAAATAAATTACCTGGTGATAAGCAATGGAGGTCAAAGGTAAAAAAAAATAGTGTAAAGGTAAATATAAAATTTTTACACTTTTAATCATACAGTATAAATATGGAAACAATGTGTTACAAAGGCATTACTATTCATAAATTACTTACAGCCAAAGCCCAGTGCAAGTCAAGGTGCAAAGGAACAAGAACTAGATCATAGAGGCAGTGGCGCAAAAAGTGGGTATGCGCTATATGCGGCGCATAGGGGCGCAGCACCATGGGGGGCGCCGAAGCGATGGTAAAAAAAAAAAAAAAAAAAAAATTAATTCATAAAAAAAAAAATATATATATATATATATATTGTACTGCTGTTGTGCGTTTTTAAAATAATTTCTGCATTTCTTGTTATATAAAATTTTAGAGGACTAACAGGCTAGAGTAGGCGCCCTCATGGAGAAGGGGGGCGGGGTGATATCGCGAGCGGGCGGGGGCGCCGTGAGCGCTGAGCGAGCAGGTACGAGTAGTGAGTTGTCGTCGAAAAAGATGGATAAAACAAAATGCTGTGGGACTAAAAATAGAAAAAGAAAGGGGGAAAATGAGATGGCATGTCAACTGATGCGACAGCAGCTAAATAAGTGCATGCTGAAAGCCACCAGGTAGGATTTAAAGTGTGACATGACATCCAGGCATGTAGGCTATCTATATCTCTGTGGCCATCGGGACTACCGGGAGATTCCCGGTAGGCCGATGTGTTTTTTCGGCCGATACATCTCATACTTTTTTTTTTGTCTTAACGGCCCATAAAACTCGTACATCGGCGGCCCATTCGGTTTTTTTTTTTTTTTTTTTTTTGCTTAATTGGCGGCGCTGGGTGCCGGTGTAATGCATTGGTCAAAAAAAGTCAGTGTTAGTTTTTTTTTCTGACACACATCATTTTTTTCATCATGTGCTTATATCTTTCAAGTATAGAAATTAGTACAAAACTAATTATGAAAGTTTCCTTTATTTTTCAGTGCATTTGTTTTACAATATAGGCCTATGGCTATTACTATCATGGGATTAATATTATATTATTATGTAGTAGTGTAATGTAGACAGACACTAACTAAAAGAGGCGCAAAAATTGTTGCTGCATACCCCTCTGACACGGGGTAGTTGCGCCCCTGCATAGAGGAAGAGATCTGTAACCACCCCAACTCGTAATAAGGGTGATTTACAGGTTCTACTCTTACTCACACACACGCTCACTTTACACACAAATGGCGCCGGGGGACCAATAGTTGCATACATAAATTAGGGCCTCCCCGGCGAAAAAACACAATACCAACACAGACATCAACCACAATCAAATGAGAGTGTACTGCTGGCTTCCTTACCCGCTACCGGACGTGGGTTCCCGCATTCAAGGAAATCAACGGCGGCCGCCAAACTTAAGAGGGGAAAACCCCAGCACAATATCCCTCCCAGTCGCTATTCGCACGCGTCTATCTCCAACCCACGTCCCGGCACGGTAGCCTCGGCGAGGAACTCAGCAGCAGCCACAGAAAAACCCCCCAGCACAACAACAAATACATCGTACCTTTATAACTTTGATTCCTGATTGCTAATGCAACACAGGTGTTTCTCTTCCCCGGCACATCATGAGTAAAACACTGTGGACGCTAATAGCGTTGCCACTCCCCTTATTTGGGATGCGCAGCTTACATCTCCACTGTTTTGGTCCATTTCTTCACTGCTGCATGGCCTGCAAAATGTCCGTCTCTCTCGTGAATCCCCTGTAAACACACACAGGTGTCTGATGCACATGTAATATGCAATTTTAATAACTGACAGCACATTTCACCAATTACCTGTTTTTGTATAAACAAGTGCATCATTTTTATTCTGTAAACGCTATTTCTGTCAAATGACGGTTATTAATAATTATGGCAGATTTAAAAAAAAAATTATTAAATCAATAATTATATCGATTAGCTCTATAAAATCTACAATGTTTTTATTTTAGATGTATTGAGGGTCATTTGTTTTGTGTGGATATTCATGCATGCATTACAGCACATTCATTAAAAATCATTAATTTAACCATTGTGAATATCCGAGGGTAACTTAACGGTTGCTTCACGACCAATTTCAAAGTTCCGTTCGACTGACACTAGGAGGCGAAATACGACAATCGTATGCGATCTGTCGTGTGCAGTGGAAAGCAGCGGCAACAGCACAACCAATGGCGCGGGCGCCTCTGACGTGCGAGCTGCGTGCGACCAATGAGCCAACTCTACGTCATTACACGTCAGAGCCAGCCAAGGGGGCGCCAGGTCCCCGAATTTTCCATTATAGCAGGTCTTCGTTCATTCATAGTCTGTCTGACATTTATATTTTAGAAGCTATATGTGTCTGTCATGGATTTGCACTGAAATTGATTCTCAAAAATACGGAACAAAGTGCGTTCCGTATCAGTTCAATACGGAATAAGACTTTTATGTGTCAAATAAGCTGTCATCCCCTCCCTCTCGAGCAACTGACAGGACGTCGTCCCACGCGAAGTCATGGCAACCAAATTAACAACAGGGCGAGTAGCTGCTAGGCCTACTACTTGTCACTTATTTATAGTGTATATAATATATTATAATATATTTGCCTATAGGCAAAGTGACAAACAGCGTTGAAATCCGCACTCACGTGGGTATAAATGTCCGCTAAAGTTGGTTATATTCTCAATTTTTTAAGCCCTGTTGTGTGTGGTATGTTTTTTAAGTCTTCTTTCCCTTTCCTTGAAGATAGCCTACACGTTTGTACAATTTCTTCTTCAAATTCATTATAAAATTGTTAAATGTTATTTTTCTAATACTACTAAATATTATTTAATTTCTTATTTGTGCTTTATGTGAAAAAAAGAGTGTTAATAAATAAGTTCTTTTATTTTGGCATATCGGCGTCATGACGTCATTCCTTGCTTCAGTTGGGCGTGCGCCTGTGATGTGCTTCATTCGTAGTAAATACAGCAACGGGAAGCCGTCACATCAGCATTCTTTCCCAACTATATCATACTTCTTTTCAGGTAACTGAAACAAAATGCACATTACACACTTTGAGTATAAACACTGATATACATAATACAAATGTAGCCTATGTGTCGAAGGCATTTCTTTTTACTTTATTAATAGTTTATTGTCATGAGTTCAGTGCTGCTGAGTACAGTTAGATTGGGTGCTCGCGGTTAGCGCGACAGACCGCTATATCAAAGTGGCTATATGTAACAGATGGTCAAAACAGCGATGCAATTCGAATCAATAAGAGTTGATGATGTTGTTTCAGACGAATTATCTTCAACTTCCATATTTGGTCATTTAACCCCCACATAATATAATTGGTGAACATAAGTTTACAAGTGGTTATATAACCACTTGGCTATAGCCAAGAATTTAAGGGACAAGTTTGGTATTTTACACTTAAAGCCCTGTTTCAAAATCGTTTCTGATGAAATAGAACGGTTAAGATTAAAATGTGGACACATGCTAGCCTGACTTCGTCATACTCATATTCTAGTCAGAATGTGAGTCTGATACTGCTCCATAGGGCTTTGATTATGAGGCGTGTCTTAACCGAACCAGGAAAAAAAAAACCTCTGCACTCAATTGGATAGACCTACAACCAATCAGAGCAACGCATTAAGTCAACTACTTTGCATAGCACAGTTGTCAACTACAGAATTTAAATGCACGCACGCTGGAAGAAGTAAAATAACAACTGTTGCTTCTTTTACTTGGTCCTCCATGAGTGCGACCAAAGGAGAAACCACAACGACCACAGGGTTTTCATTGTGTCCCATCTTCTTAGTGACCATCGGAGCCAGCTGATAAATTAAACTTTTGCCGAATCCCGTAGGAAGGACGTCAAACTAGAGATGGGATTTATGGCTCTTTGAGGGGATCCGGATCTTTGCGATCCGTTCCTTTCAAAGAGCCGTTCAAAAGAACGGCTCTTTTGGCTCTTTTTAAATATTTAGTCAGTTTTAAGAAGTCAGCTTTGGGGGCATCTCAGTTTATCCTGGAAATAATCACTGGGAGGAATGATGAGGTGAGATTTGTAGTCAAATAATTAAAACTCAGATATCACACACCAATATCTGAGTTTGAATTATTCTGAAATATTGATTATTACCTCATTTGTCATGTGTGGACTATATTCCATAGGGTTGCACAACATCCCTCTGCTTAGAAAGTGACATCACTATTTTGGATTTACCTTTAGTACAAAGTGTGTGCATGTGTAAAGCTATGTTGACTTATGTTATTCATACAATACCTACTCACAAATAAACATCAAAAACAAAGCCGGCTGCAATGAATTTCTGTGCAAAACAGCTTTTACTACAAACACTTCCACACAAGAACATTGTTATCACAAGAACATTTTGATAAAAAACAAAAAATATTTAAAGTTGTAAATATATACTGTAGATACAATAACATGAACATGAACACAAAATGCGATGTAAATAAATACAAAGCAGTTCCTTACTTTATGGCTTTTTCTGCATCTCTTTCTTGTCCTTGGGCAAATTTGCATTAAGGAAGACAAGAGCTCTGACCTTTTTGGGCTTAAGGCGACTTCTCCTCTCTGAGATTATCTGTCCAGTTTTCGAGAATATTCTCTCAGAGGGAACTGATGTCGCCACAACACAAAGCTTCTTGGCCATCAGCTTGCTAAGCCTGGGGTAAACAGGGGCTCGACTCTCCCACCACTTGAGGGGATCCTCATGTGTTGGAAGAAGAGGCTCCTCCAGGTAGGCTCGCACTTCCATGACAGCATCGGCGGTTGGATTCCTGGCTTCCACTGTTCCGGCTACCTGCTCATAGGGGTGGGAGATATAACAATGGGAGATACAATTTTTATGTGATTAGATTAGATTAAATTAGATTCAACTTTTGTCATTACACAGTGTAAGAGAACAGAGTAATGAAATGCAGTTTAGCATTTAATTAGTAGTGACAATAGTAGATTTGCATATGTACAGTATGTGCAGTATGTACAGATTAAACTGATTTCATTCTAGAGATTTTTAGAGACAAAAATGTGAATTATTGTTGCCACCCTTACTTCCTCATGGAAATAGCTCCAAACTATTGATCCAGCACCACTGCCTGCTCCTTCCAGTCCTTCCACAGCTGGTTGCTGTTGGATGGATGTGCCACTGCTAATTCTTGCTGCTGCAGTTGACAGCCTTTGAAACGTCTCATCTGCTGTTCTGCCATCAGGGAAGGCCATCCTCTTAAAGCGCGGGTCAAGTGCAGCAGACTCTGCTAGTATGTGGTTGGCATGAATCTTGTGGAATCGCGATGACATACTCGCACACAGACTGTCGATCACACCTTGCGCTGCCGCTGTTGTAGTGTTTCGCCGGAAATCAGCGGTGGCTCTTTGAAGTCCCCTGGCCAGCACTATGACCTTCGAGGCTGTCAAGTAGCTGGTAAAAAAAAAAAAAAAAAAAACTTTAATGTTACAATTTTAAAGCTGAAACAATGGTAAATATTACAATGTATTAAACAGATATAATTGTGGTATCAAATATCCATATTTTTTTTATCAGGAAACTGGCATGCAGGCTACATAAATCTACTGACAATGATATATATTCCAGTGTATTACACAGATATAATAGATATAATTCTAATATGGTATAAAATATTCATAATTTACTATCAGGTACTATGCATGCATGCTAAAGAAATATACTGCTGTGCAACCGAGCTACATACCTTTCTGCACTGAGTTCCACAGTGACTTCCTCAAATGGTTGCAAGATTGTGCACATTTCTTGCACTGTGGTCCATTCCTCCTGGGACAGGTGGCGGACAGGTGCATTGGTGACGGCCAGGGTGGAGATTATGGCATTTTTACTGGCAATAAAGCTTTTCAACATGTAGTAGGTGGAATTCCACCTTGTAGGACAATCCTGTTTCGGTCGGAGCTCCTCCATCTTCATTTGTAGTTGAGTCTCCTTCAGTTTTTGTGCCCCCACGGTGCTTCTGTGAAAGTATTCCACTGCCTCTTTCACCTTATCAATGATGGGCTTTGAAACTTGCAGGGCATCTCTTACCACCAGGTTAATAGTATGGGCCAGGCATGGTAGGTGCATCCATCCAATGGTTTTTATAGCCTTAGTAACATTTGCCGCATTATCGGTTAGGCAGCACACTACTTTCTTGTCCACCCCCCACTCTGCTGCAACACTAAGCAGCTGTTGTGCAATGTTGTCTGCTGTGTGCCGCTCACTGAATTCAAAACAGTCCAGGAGGCAGGAGGCCACACGGAAATCCTCGATAAAATGGCAGGTTACAGACATATATGATACTGTCGTTCTTGAAGTCCAACAATCTGTGGTTAAACAGACAGCTGGTACTTTTGACACCCTTCTCTTCAAAGATGCTGTCTCCGTGTCATACATATCCGTGACCTTCTGGGCTAGTGTCTTCCTACTTGGAGGAATGTAGGAGGGGTTGAGCGCCTGTGAATATTTTTTGAATCCTGTGTCCTCCACTATTGAGAAAGGCTGGAAGTCAGTGGCTATCATCTTTGCCAGCTCTTCGTCTATCTTCTCCTGTCTTAATGGGGTCAAGACAGGAGGTAAATATTGACTGATGGATGTCTGCTTTCTTTTTGGTCGTGCCTGGCCAGGCGATGTGGTGGGCCCAGTGGGGTCAGAGGCTGCTGTGGCTGCAGTTGCACTTGATGTGGAGGCAGAGGAGGCAATGGACACATCAGTGTCACTGTTGTTGTCTGAGTCTGGCTCTGCTCTCAAACCTGTGAGCTGCAGTGTTGGGTGTTGAGTCTTCAAATGCCGGTGTAAATTATTTGTTGACCCAGACTTAAATGAAATTACTTTGTGACAAATGCTGCATTTAGCCTTACTGTTTTCTTCGTGAGAAAAGTGCACCCAAATGCTGCTCCTTTTCCTCTGGCTCATTTTCAGACGTGTCACGTGTGTGTCTTCTTAGTTCGAACTTCGAACGACCCGCTATCCGCTATGACGTTGGCACTGAGAGGCACTCGCATGTGTGTTTTTTTTTTTTACTGGAGTAACCATGTGACGGCAGCGTGCACAAGTCATTGGCTCCGCTCCTACCCAATGACAGAGGCACGTAGGTTTTTTTTTCACTGGAGTACTCACGTAAAGGATGCGCGCGCGACAGCGCGTGCACAACTATCATGCTAGGCAGTAGCAGTGGCACCCCTGCGCTGAGTGCGCCCCTTCCACTATAACTGAGGAGCTAATTTGTGTGCATCTGTGTGAAACACGCATAGGAAAAAAAGAACGACAGAAAGAACGGCTCCCCTCCAGCCGCGACTCGGCTCCCATCGTTCATGTTTATGAGCCGTTCAAAAGAATCGGTTCGTTCGCGAACGTCACAACTCTACGTCAAACACATCTTTCCGATCGACAAATGCCTTGATTGCAGTTCTCTGTTCGTCTTTTAAAATGAATGCGCTGTCGATTTCTTTTATAACAGACACGATAGCGGAATCTATACATCTCAGTTCTCCAGCTGCAGTCATCTTTGAGGGAAACCAGTTCAACCCAAGCGCTCTTTGATAAAGTGATGATTACGTAACTGCAGATCATCTGTCCATCATCGTATAAAGCCCGCCCTGGCAATTTGATTGGCCCGACGATTTCTGAACCGATCATAATTACTCCTCAATGGAGCGAGTCCAGACCGAACTTCCCGACCCAAAAATGTTGTGGGCGGGGTTCGGGCTGGCATCCAGGCTAGACACATGCTGCTGTCCCGAGAAATTTCAGTTTCTGTGGTTGCACCTCCCCCACCTCTACAATGGTTGCATAGGTGCACAGAAACAATCCTTCCTAAAACGCATTAAACTTTAGTTTACAAAGACGTTAAACTCACCGAGTGGTCAGGGCTGTTCACTGATATGCTCACACAAAAATCGCTGCAAAAGATGCTTTACAACAGGTTTTGTCGTAGTTTTTGAACAACTCCATTTGACTTGACTTGGACAAAAACTACGATAAAACCTGTTGGAAAGCATCTTTTGCAGCAATTTTTGTGTGAGCATATCAGTGAACGCCCCAGACCACTCTGTGAGTTTCACGTCTTTGTAAACTAAAGTTTAATGCGTTTTAGAAAGGATTGTTTCTGTGCACCTATGAAACCATTGTAGAGGTGGGGGAGGTGCAACCACAGAAACCGAAATTTCTCGGGACAGCAGCATGTGTCCAAATTTTAATCTTAACCGTTCTATTTAATCAGAAACGATCTTGAAACAGGGCTTTAAGTGTAAAATACCGAACTTGTCCTTTAAGAGCCACAGACCTGTATATTAAGCTCTTTTTTTTTAAGATACACTTGGGTAACGTTACATTAAAACAAAACCCATCTCTATATTTCCAATGCAAGTTTGATGCAAGATGAAAAATGTATGCTGAAAAAAGTAAGAAAAGACGCATACCTTGATCGAACAGGATCAGTTTATTTTATGTTTAAGATAAAACAATCATACAATCTTACAGCATTAGCTGTAACATGGAGTCTGCAAGCCTAATGTAGGACTACTGGCTTTTAGGTGATAGTTCACCCAAAAATAAAAATTATGTCATCATTTATTAATGTATTTGTGTTTTTGGTCTTGTAGATTTTTCTTACGTACCTGGAACCTAATTACCTGGGGCGTCTCCAATCGACACCCAAGCGTCTACAGTCGACACTAAAGGTGCTATATGTAGCTTTTCTTCTAAAATGAATCCTTTTTTTATTGCCTGTGTGTGAAGGGGTTGTAATCACACATTACAATGATCCACTTGTCGGGTTTTGCTATTACCTCTGAAGGCCAGTATTCCTATTTCTATGTGAAGGCTCCGGGTCGGATTTACCGTGAAATCCATCGGATGTGACGTGCATGCGCGCTCCCGAGCCTCTCTCCTTTTTATATAGAGTCTATGCGACGGCACTGCAGCTAACTACGTGGAGTCTGATAACACCAAAAAACAACCTGCCTCCAGCTCAATAAAGACTCCAACACAAACTCCACATAAATATAAAAAACAAAAAAAAGTTTTATCTGCTGAAGCTCGTCAGGCCAAACGTGAATCGGATCAACTTCGGTACGAAAACACGGATCAACATCAGCAGAGCATTTGAATTATGGAGAGACCTCCGCTATTTTTATTGTGATAAATTACAAGTTTTCAGATATGCTGAAATAAATAATGGTAAACTGTAATGAAATAGCAAGGTAAACTGTATTGAAATAGCAAGGTAAACTACAACATACATGAGACATGAAATGAATACAAAAGACTTGTTCCAGGATAACAAAAAGTAGGTGCTTTAGGATGTAACTTTTATTTTATGTACTAGATCTACTGTCTAACGTCACTCATCCCACTACTATCATATTGTTTATAATACACATTTCCAGACACATTCAGTACATTCAGTACAGTAATGTTACTTCCTACGGTCTTACTGTTACACTGAAATTGTCTAAACGTTTTCGTTATCATATCATTCATTCACCTATGTTGACATTGCTGATTGTGAAAGATACACGAATAGTTCGTGAAATGCCTTATGCTAGATAACACCACAATGTCGGCTAAATGCAGTCAATTTGGGTCACTATAATCATGATATGTTTTCATTACATAAACACTATATCCCTAGTGTGAATCAATCCAGGGTGTTTTCCAGCCTATGGCGTGAGACACTGATAGTCTCCAGGATCACTGTGACCCTACAAGCGATTTGGCGATGGATGTCAGATAAAAAAAAAAAGAAGCTTAAATAGACCATCTGAAAAAATAATATTGATAATGGCATTTATTGGCCGATCTCTAACATTAATGCATCGAAATAATAATTGTATAGCAGTTACATTCTTTCTGATATTACATCATGGTTCACCTTTGTGTCTTTCCCTTTACATTTCTCTATTTTTTTTTTGTTTTACTGAAAATGAACCTTTCCTTACTTTGATTTTAGACCTGATGGAAGACCATGAGGAGAGGGAAGAACTGAGTGAAGCAGAGGAGAAACAACATCATGTCAAAACTGGTGAAAAATCTTTGAGTCGCTCACAGACTGAAAGTAATTTATTGAAAAGAGGCAAAAAAAAATCTTTCACCTGCCGTCAGTGTGGGAAGAGTTACAGAGTAAAAGGAGTCCTTAGGGATCACATGAAAATCCACACTGGAGAGAAGCCGTACACATGTGATCAGTGTGGGAAGAGTTACACATTTAAAGGAACCTTTAGGGAACACCTGAAAATCCACACTGGAGAGAAGCCGTACTCATGTGATCAGTGTGGGATGAGTTTCACAAAAAACGGATCCCTTAAGGAACACATGACAATCCACACTGGAGAGAAGCCGCACACGTGTGATCAGTGTGGGAAGAGTTTCAGAAAAGCATGCACTTTGAAAATACACCTGCGTTGTCATTCTGGAGAAAGACCGTTTACCTGTGATCAGTGTGGTAAAAGATTTTTTAGGAGAGATGCGCTGAAGGACCACATGAAAGTTCACACACAGGAGAAGCCTTACACGTGTTCTTTGTGTGGAAAGAGTTTTAGTCAGATGGGTACTCTAAATTTACACCAGAAAAGACACAATGGTGTGAAGGATCACATGTGCTTTGATTGTGGGAAGACTTTTGTTAGAGATGCTGAACTAAAGCTGCACCAAAGAAGTCACTCTGGAGAAAAACCTTACAAGTGTTCACACTGTGACAAGAGATTCACATGTTCAGTATATCTGAAAATACATGAGAGGATCCACACTGGAGTGAAACCTTACAAGTGTTCACACTGTGACAAGAGTTTCACTGACTCAGGATCTCTGAAATCACATGAGAGGATCCACACTGGAGTGAAACCGTATCACTGCCCTCCGTGTGGGAAGAGTTTCGCTCATTCATCTTCTCTACTCAATCATACAAAAAACAAATGTTTGAAATCAAGAAATCATGTCTGAATTCATCTTCGGATCCATCACATTCAAAATGCAACACTGTGTCCTCACCAAACAATAAAACTAAGCAGTCAAATCTATCTCTTCTATATAAATCTGCCCAAACCAGCCACAACAAGTGACAGGACAATGAAACATTCAAAATTATTACAGTGAACAGAGTCCCTCTTTACCGAGATCAACATGAGTTTCTCCCAAATCAACAATATCTAAGAAGTTCTTTTAAAGTCGGCATGAAATCAAATTTGACCGTTATAATCTTTAATCAAATACATTACCCTTCCCTTCCCCCTCGAAACGACCACTCTTCTCTTTCGGTCACGTGCAATGGCGAAAGGGTGCGGCCAAAGCCGATGAGGGTGCGGCTATCGGTGCAACGCCTCTCGAGAAGATACATTCAAATCTGCCTCCATTTTGTTTGCAACGCCCAACCTCCAACGATCCAATCAATTCCCGAAGGACGAAATCAAGCCCCGCCCTACATTTTTTTCTAATTTCAAAAGCCGTTTCACTCGGATATACGTCACAACAAGGAAAAAATGACAATCTCAACTTCCGTTTCATGCCGACTTTAAGACTGAAAGAACTGGTTGAAGATATCAACCTCACCACAGGTCTATAAGACAAAGGCCCTTGCTTCCAAATTAACATTTGAACACCTCTCACACACACACACCCCGCATCACCTACTCTTGCAAAGATCACCCAAACTCACACAAGATTTTATATGGTTTTAATGTGAATGATTATCATTAAGGATTGTGTTTAGAATGATTTTAAAGGTCTCAATGTGACGGGTACAAATGTCTCATTCCCAAAGAAGTAAAACAAAAAGGTAATAAGGTTTTTAAGAGTTTAGGAATAACTGGCACACAGAGGAATGTGGTCTCTAGGCACTCCCAAAAGGTGTAAATTCATGAATGCTAATTTCCACTGTTCTGAGCAGATGGTCAAACTTCTACCCCCAGTAAGTATGGAGGGGGAATACAGTAAATTTCCACTAAACTTATGTTTTACATATCAAATAAGGTCTGGCTATATAAGAAAAATGCAACGAGAGCTCAGGGCTGCTTTTTCTGTATCAGATCAGCCCGTGCATGCTGTGTCGTTGAGACTCATTCATGTCTCATAATGTCGGGTAAAGGATTTTCCACTTTGTTCTAGAACATTTGATGGTTTGCATTGATTATCTTTCAATTGATTATGCAATTGTAATAATACATTTACCTGACATAATAAATTGTTATATTTGATTATTCTAACAGACTTTGACTTTGTTTTCATTAGAGTTAAAAGGAATAGTCAAACATTAACGTATAATTAATGATGCACAGATATCATTGAAAAAACTTTTCATTTATGGAGTCAGATAATACGAGTTAATACATAAAATAAAATGTATTGCATTTAATTAAAAATCCCTTTGCCATGGGAAGAGAGGGAACACGCGTGAGACCTTCACCTCTAATCGAGTACCGCCATTGGATCGAATTAGACGGCCTTACATTCTTGTATTTAAATGTTTACTTCATGATATAATACCAAATCATGCTTTATTAAGATTTTTGTATTTTGATCTATTTATATTTAAACATTTTATAAAAGTGAACAGGAGTGGATTCTTATGCTCCATCGCCTTCCCTTTGCCTTCTTATTATATCCTTTTACTCCATGTTTAATCAACATTTATTAATCACTATTATCTTTTATGCAGTGATTCAATAGACTGCAATGTTTGTAGAATGAGCTTCGCCGAGCTGTAAAAAACGCGAATTGCTTGTTAACTGCAGATTACTGGTTACTACAGTGCGCATAAAACCACGGTGGGGAGCAGGACGAGGATGAATCACTACGAGGCTGAGGGCCGTGAGAGAGCGGCGCGAGGCCGATGGCGGGATCACTGATGAGCGACACCATTGAGGCGCACCGGTCTCGTATCTCTCACGGATGGCGGGATCACTGATGAGTGACACCATTGAGGCGCACCGGTCTCGTATCTCTCACGGATGGCGGGATCACTGATGAGTGACACCATTGAGGCGCACCGGTCTCGTATCTCTCACGGATGGCGGGATCACTGATGAGTGACACCATTGAGGCGCACCGGTCTCGTATCTCTCACGGATGGCGGGATCACTGATGAGTGACACCATTGAGGCGCACCGGTCTCGTATCTCTCACGGATGGCGGGATCACTGATGAGTGACACCATTGAGGCGCACCGGTCTCGTATCTCTCACGGATGGCGGGATCACTGATGAGTGACACCATTGAGGCGCACCGGTCTCGTATCTCTCACGGATGGCGGGATCACTGATGAGTGACACCATTGAGGCGCACCGGTCTCGTATCTCTCACGGATGGCGGGATCACTGATGTGCGACACCAGTGAGGCGCACCGGTCTCGTATCTCTCACGGAGGAGTGGAAGCTTAAAAGGAGGAGCGACGACAGTGAAGGATGAGAGAGGCCAGGACTGGATTTTATTTGATGTTTTGTTTTTGTCTTTACTTTCGTTTTTTTATTTTTTTTTATTGTTGATTGTTCGCCGTTTCCCGCATCTTTCTTGCCATAACATCTAACCTTGTTAGAGAACCACATTTGAGATCAGATTTGGATCTTCATTTAAGACAGCTTTATTGGGTATACATATGATACACTGATGCAAGTCAGTAAAAAATTAACTCATTTAATTGTAGAAATCTGGAAGCCATAGAAAGAATACATTTATTACAAGCTTAATATTTTGTTTACCTTCATTCACTTAAAAAGTGTTATCATTGTTAGGCATTCACAGCAGTCATATATCATTAAAATTCAGGTCTAATTTATTTGTTGAAACCTGGAAGCCAAAGAGATCACACATCATTATTTTATAAATTTTGTAATTAAAGACTATAAATATATATATATATATAATTAAATGATAATTTTCTCTTTATTCATTAAGTTGCATTATATCAGCATAGTGCATGGCAGTCACAGTCATTCAAGTTTTATTATAATTGGTCAAACTTGAAAGCCAACATCAATATTGTTTACTTTCTTTAGACATTATACAATATCACTCAATACACAACGCCTACTATTAAATACTATTACACATTTGCTGGTGGAAATGCCATGGAGTCCTGCCTGTCGTGACATTCCCTACTCAGCCTTCTCTTAAAAATAGCATTTTATCAAGATAAAATCTACATATAGTTCCCAATGAAAGTATTGCCTCTCCTTCATTATCCATTTTTTTAAAGTGCTTTTTTTGGCTAAAGGTTGCTGGCTTGCCTTCCAATGGCTCTGGTATGGCTGTGTTCATGTTGCATTTACAATTTCGACCAGCAGGTGTCGCTAGTGTACAGTGTTTCTGGCTCTTTCAATCAACTCCTTTTCTGGGTGTTTTTATTGTTCTGAATGATGGATTGGTTTTGCTATGACATTCACTGGTGTGTAACTCATTTGTCCTGTGGCTACAACAATGCATCTCTGTGAAATAGTGATTCTACTCTAAACTAGACCGAAAGAACACAATAAAAACATATATATGTAAATCATAATCCTGTGAGTTTCACAAATATTATTCAGTACAGTTCTCCAGCATGAAAAGCAGGGAATGCCAAGAATATACTGTATCGCTGAAGGCCAGACACTTCAAGTGGGAGGAGCCTGTGCCTCATGTAGGCGGAGCCTCACATTAGTGGGGTGAAGTTTAAAGTTGTGGTTGGGTATGGACCTTTTATACAACCCATTTGGACATGTGGTGCTCAGTGCAGAGCCAAATGACGTCCAGCTCCACCTCTGCGAATGTAATAGGTAGAGGAAGTTTTGGGTAAGGTTAGTGTATGGTTGGAACATCGCTCCACCTATTATTCCCATATTTCAAAGAGGGGGAGCTTGACTTCACGGGGCTGCAGTGATAAAGAATGAGGGAGGAAAACATTCCAGTGTTCCCGCCTTGGAGAAGAGCCAAACCTGTGGAAACACGTCCTATCATGCAGGGAATCTGCAGTATCTGCTATATGATAGTTCGATTAAAGCACGCTGGTTTTAATGTTAACTGGATGGAACTAATTTTTTTTTTTTTTTTTTTTTTTTTTTTTTTAGGGTTTGTTATGTTAAAAGCTATCAGGGACTAGATTGTTTTATGTTTGAGAAAATAGTATAAGAAAAGTGATTTAATAATAAACGCTTCTTAAAGTGAAATATAATAGTTTATTCGGTTGCATTCCATTCAGTACAATATTCATGAAATAATGCTGAAATATGGTAAAATACACACGCTGACAGTTGTTTTTAAGGCAGCTGAAGCACAAGCTCAAGTATCATCTCAGGTCTAGACAGGTTTTAAACATTCATAGGCAGTTCTTGTGGGATTATGAAGCTGTTATTGAATTCTCTTTTTTTTACAGGTCATAACTGACAATAACACAATGAAATGGCAGTGTGCAAATAAATAACTTAAAAAAGAATACATTTTTACATTCTGCTTCAGTGGTTCTCAACTGTTTTAATTTCCAGACCCAGATTTTACATTAAAAATAGTTAATAATACTAAAGTGAGAGTAGTAATACTAGAAATACTTCTACCGGTTAAGTTATAGTATTACAGTGAGCTGCATATTAATTATTAACATTAAATTGGCTGAATATTAAACTATTTTAGTTTCTAAATTCATCCATTTTCCAAACCAACTGTCCAAGTTTTCTTTTAACAGTATCTATGATTACAGTAAGGTTAGAAGTATTTTTATATTTGTATGCAGCATTGCTTCCCTCTGAACAATATTTGGGTCATAAGCCACCAGTTGAGAAACACTAATCTATACTGCAACAAGACTGAAGTATTGTAGGCAAAATATTAAAAGTAATTTTGTTCCTTAGATCATAACACTTGAGTACACTATTTCATCATCTTCCTTGCATTTCTGTAAGAAAACACAAAAAGTAAAATCAGGAACAGTGTTGAGGAACACATGCAAAACTGGAAAAAGAGGTTAATATTTCAGAGGATGACAAATTACAAGAAATCCATCAAAAACATTGATCTATCACGATTAATAAAGTGGAAAGTAAGATGCTCTGCACCCAAACTGTAATTTTGGCTGAAATTTCTCTTTCAAGAACAGTGACATCCGCTCTATAAATCCAAACAAGATGTTCATCCATTCCTGTAAATTTCACCCAGAGCAACTTTTCATTACAGTCAGTAAATGTACTTTAATGCATTATTTTGCGTGACACAAATGCAGAAGTTCAGAACATGACTGTTTTTGTGGCTCAGTGTAAATGAATAGTCATTTTATACTGAAGAGGAAGCTCTGAAAGAGACATTGTGCCTAACAATTGTGTTTCCTATAAAATCAGAATCCAAATCCCTGAATGAGATGGTTCATGCATCCATCAAAACTGACAAATGTCAAAAGAAAAAATGGTAGCAGAACATCTTACAATTGAGATGTCTATGAAAAATGAACCAATTTTTCATACATCTAGTCAATCTAGAACATACATGACATGATCTGCACACACAGATATGTGATCATGCAAGTGTATGCACACTACTAACATTCAAAGAAACTCACAAATCACAAGATTTTAGACATGATACAGTAAAGCAGCAAAAGACAACAGCAATAAAGTCTTCCTCTTGGTGTTCAATCAAAGGGAGTCATTTCAATATCAATTAAGCTTGATAATATTACATTTCTGTTAGATAATAGTGATTACAATAATGGTGTCCTTTCAGATCTTCACTAAACATCTGCTGGTAAATATAAACAGCTAATGTTTCGCCATTCTGTGTCTTTGTATGGCAAGTGTGAACAGCAGGTGTTAACATCACTACATAGTAACTTACAGGGAAATTTACAACAATGCAAAAACCCATGGACAAACTGCATGATTATTCAAAACAGATGTTTTTATATTTGGCTTTTTTTCTTTCTTTTTTGGACTGATTTGTTTATCCCAGGTAGAACAGGTTTCTTAAATTTTAACTGACAAACTGCCGTCTTTTCAGTCTGTTGCTTTTGAACAATTTGTCATTCTAATCTATTTCTTTCCAGTCAGATGTGTGAAGATTTGCGCACCTGTAATACAGGTGTAACTGAAATAGCCAAACCCTGTTAAGCAGAAAGGGGTGTGTCCTGATTCAAATGAAGTCTTTAAATGAATCACTAGCATTAAATCCCAAATCATCTATAATCCATCTTAACATAGAGCACATATTTGCTTAGGCTATGAAAAGAAACAAGCAAGCACAGACCGGCACTGAGATTTGATTTCTGAATGATCATGAATGATCCATCAATGCACTGGTGCGGAGCTTTACAGAGAGGCAGCGAGACACAACGCACACACAACACTGTATCTTACCGTATTCTGTAAATGACGCGCACAGAATGTTGTTGTAGCATAATGTATTTCTTCAGTTTCAACTGTTTTAACAATAATCACATTTTAACTATAACAATTATACATGAACCTGAAATGGTGATACACAAAAGACTCATTTCAACTGCAGTAATACTTACCACTTGGTGTTGCTGGTTTACGGTTCTTGATGTGCCAGAACACAAACCCTCCAGAAACTGCAATTATGGTCAGCAATAACAATAAACCTACCACTAAATATGAATGGTGATTCTGTTCTGCAATGAACAAACAAAAAACAGTATGTAGTTTATATTAGTCCTGCCAGTCTGACTTCAAATCTGAGACAGCAAATCAGGGAGATCATTTCATATATTACACAACTGGAGAAACTCTTAAAAATAGTTTAACTATTCAGCTTGACATGATGCTGACCAGCCTTTGTTTAGAAAGCTTGAACCCCAGGGGCCGGTTGCATAAACTGTTAGACTAGTCTTACAAGTTAGTCATCAAATTGTTTTCTTTAAGACTGACTGTTCATAACTTTTTTAAGTATGTTACAGAAAAACATAGATTGGCCTAATTTGATAGCAAAAAGTAAGATTGCCTGCCCCTTGACTAACTGCTAGTGGCTCATCCTAGAGACACTGTGTTAACATAATATGTTTATGTAACTGGCCCCAAGTGTTTAAAGTAATGTAAAACCTAATATGCAACCCATACTCAAATATACTGATATTGTGTTGAGGTTATAGCTCACAAAGATGAACCTACAAAATATCCCAATCAATACAGTTCATAAGACTAATACCATCGCTGACGTACCTTCACATGTGTGACAGAGTTGACTGATGTTGTCCAGATGTGTGGTCTGGTTTCTGACAGGATTGTAGATCACACAGCTGTAAGTGTTGTTATCCTGATATTCCACATCCAGAGGTAGAGAGAGACTGATGCTGAGATCAGACGCACTGATGCTGGATAATAAACTGGTACCTTTGTACCAGGAGAGAGTCACATCACTCACATTCACAGCTGAACACACCAGTGAACATCTGGACTCTGATGATCTTGATGATGATGATCTTGATGATGATGATGATGATGATGATGATGATGATGAACAGTTTAAAGAGTAACTGGAAATGTTAAGAATGGGTAGAGGAGCTGCAAAACATGAAAGAACATGAAGTCAAGTCAAGTCAAGTCACCTTCATTTATATGGTGCTTTAACAATATAGATTATTTCAAAGCAGCTTTACAGTGATAGATAATTAAAGTAACAGAGATTGTTTTGGCTTTACAGCAGATCTAGAATAAAGTTACTGTCCAGCTAAAGTTAGTTTTGATCGATTCACTTCCATTGTAAAGATCATTAGTTATTAACTTAGGGCCGCTTACACGACACCATTTTTTCCAGAAAACAGAAAACTTTTAATGTGTTCTTCCGGCCGTTCACTTGCCCAACAGCAGTGTTGGGTGGCTCGAGAACACAAACTGTGAAATAGGTTCCAAGGTGCAAGTTTTGATTTTTTTTTTAAACGTTATGAAGGCTTTATATCAGAATTATCCAAAATCAATAACAAAAAAAACATGATGCAGATGTTTTCTTGCAAGGCTAATGAAAAAGAAACCAAAAATGTGAATGCAAGGCTGAAAAAAAGAGAAATGCCTGCATCTAAACTAAAATACAGATTCATCATTTTAACAGCTATCGTGCATATCATATCTTATTAATTATTTAAACAATGTGTAGGTACTTTTGGCTGCAATTTTGGGCATTTGAATTATTATTTATCATATCAGAAATTATAGCATTTGTGATATGATTCATACTCACCATAGACAGTAACATTGAATCTCTTCTGTGTTTTTCTGCTTCTGATGATCTGTAGTTCATAAAGTCCAGTGTGTTCAGATCTGATGTTTCTGATGATCAGAGATCCAGTTTGATTGTCCATCTGAAGTCTGTCTCTGAATATTCCATCATTACTGACAAATATATAGTTCATTTGGTCTTTTCTAATGATTTCAGCTATTAGAGTGTTTTGAGGTCCAAACGTCCACATTATCTGATCCCCTCTCTGTACTTGAACATCAGTGTTTAGAGAGACAGAATCTCCCTCAGTCACTGACACTGACTTCACTTCATCCGTATCACCCAACACACCTGAAACTATATATGCATAAAAAATAGAGTGCAGTTTGAATTAAAATAGTTTAACTCAAATTAAACAAGTCAAACATTGAATTTTGAATGAATTTAGAATTTTCTTTTTTCATAACAAACAAACAAATAAATACAATAGGAAGCATGTATTATGTTTTATTAAATCAAGTTGAAAAGTTATATTAGGTGTTTCTAACTGAAACCAAACTAAATAAAAAGTAGAAATGTATTTGCATGTGTATTTATACTACATTTGTTGTACTACATTCGCTTTGCATGAGATTAAATCCGACTTACCATTTGTGGTCAGAATCAGAATGCATAGACAGATGAAAGCAGTGTTTAAAATCATATTCCTCAAAAGATGTCCGAACGATTTCTGATAAATAAAGTCCTCATAGCGCTGTTGAAAACGTGTTTTCAACCGGATAAACAAGCACTCTACAAAACTTCGCGTTTCTCTGAATGTGTCTGTCTGCTCGTGCTCACAGAGAGGAAGAGGAGATGACGGCATGACTCTTCATTGGCTCAGCAATACACCGTTTATAGAGATTATTATTTGAATTATTGGTAACAGTTATTTGTTCTTATTTTAGAACTATTTCATTTCACCATAAAATTATATGTCGAAAAAGCATCTTTGATCAATATCACTAATACAGTCTCAACTATAATCTAGAAATCCAGTCCAAATCTGACATGAACAGTTCCATTAATGGGTTTTTAATGCAGAAATAGCGTTAAAAACACTGATCTATATAATGACTAGTCTATAATGTCATTCTATATAGATCAGTGGTTAAAAAGGCGTATATTTCAGACTGGACCAGCTTTAGCGGTCCTAAGCCACTGTTTCTATGGCGACGTAACTTCTAACTGTACCAAATTGGCGATTGGCTAATTTATTTAGAAGGCGGGACTTATTCTGCGATATTTGGATATTTTGCGTCGCAATTTCTCGACTGCATGATCAAATGTATCCCCTAAATCTCATCTTTGATAATCAAAATTACATATTTAAAGTTGTTTCCTTTGAAGAAAATATTTTCTTCATGTCTTAAAATAGCTTAAATGTAACTCCACACTTGCTTATTTTAGATAATGGGGATTCATGAATATGCAAATGAGTCCCTCCACTCAATCACACCAGTTAAAGGTGCTCTAAGCGATGTCACGCGTTTTTTAGGCCAAAACATATTTTGTCACATACAGCAAACATCTCCTCACTAACCGCTGGCTGCCTGTCCCCTGAACACACTGTAAAGAAACGCGATCTCTGTAGACAGCCCAGGCTCCACAAACAGCAACAAAAACAAACTGCAGCGACCCGCTCCCCGAAACATGACAAACAGTTCCAGCCTATCACCAACAAGAAGGACTTGGGGGCGGGATTTGGGGGGTTAGTGCGCGGATGAGGAGGAGGGAGGGTCTAGCTAGCCCATAGACAGTATAAGAAATGGACAGAGCCATCTCATTGGAACTCAGTTGAGACAGTTGAAGCCCATTTTTAGCGATTTCTGAGCACTTCCGTTCCTGACGCGCAGACTCAAACCGACTCAAACTAAGCTTGATGACGTGAGCAACCTGTCTGACAGACGTTAATCTTCTAGTAGCTGTGCGTGAAAATTGCCAACGTTAATCTTGCAGAGACGGGGAACTTGAGCAAAGAGTTCTTTGGCGTGAGTGAGCAGGAGTAAGTATTCCGTTGCTTTTATGAACTCATTATCTATGGGCTTCTCCCTTGATGGGACGTCCCCCCGATTGCCTGCGAGCTTCTCCTCCTGTCTGTACGGTAATTTCTGTACAGCGCGACAGAGAGTCGAGTGGTTATGACGCAATCGTTAGCCTATTTTTACTAAAACTGTTTCTACAGGGCCATAATGTAACATAGAAGGTAATGGAGCCCTTTATACATTGTCGTGTTTCTTTAGAAATAAATAATGGACAAATGGAGTCTTTAGACGCCTCAGATGTAAAGTTATTCGCTGTCAAAGTGACGCCAAAATGAATGGGAGTCAATGGAAATGCTAACGCAAGTGAAGTTCTGCTACAACATGGTGGCACCCGGCCGGCTTCAACTTCCGGTCGATGGATTACCCCCTTGAGCTAGCCTCCGTTTTGTTTGACAATACTTTGTTTAAACGTCAACAAGAAGTTAAGTCACCCGACATCGCTTAGAGAACCTTTAAGAGTAACTTATCCACTGGGTAAACTAAACGCTACACAATGAAGTGGAAATATTGGTTTTATTCATATAGGTCTATGCGAGTTAGATTTGGGAATAAAGTGCAAGTTGTGAGATGCCAATCGCCTCCGTGTGTCTGTCCAACGCTCTGCATGCAATAACTTCAGTTGTGAGCTATCCCTAATCTTCCTGAAGCAACGCGTTACAAACTGTACTTCAGTTTCATTGCGGGGACACCACCTTCACCTGCCATCATGTCTATCGGCTCGTTTTTTTGGGGTAAACTTTCCGCGACTGCGCAACTGTGTTATAGGTTGCCAGGTTGAGGTGACAAACGGGTTGAAATTGTAAATGGTCTGTGGATTGTGTGAATATAATGCATTTAATACAATCTGGCAACTGGTCAACATTAGACAAACATATTGGTCCGATTATTCATAAAGGAGTTTGGGCCATGCAAATTACGGGAGTTTCCCGGGAGAAATAACAAACCGGGAGGGGTCCGGGAGATAGGGCTAAAAAACGGGAGAAACCCGGGAAAAACGGGAGTGTTGACAGGTATGGTCTATGCTTGAACCAGGAACTGTTTTTAAAAGAAGAAGAGGAGGAATACATGAATTTGCACACGGTTTGTCTTAAGGCATATTAAAACAACATAGACATATAAATAACATTAAACACTTGATTTTCTCAACAGGGGGTCTTTAATAACAACACCAATATTGATTTTGAAAAAAAAAAAAAAGACAGTAATTGGAAAAAATAATGAAATTTATTTATTGGCCTCTTCACACTTCTAGAGATTTTTTGACACATTGGGTTCTGGTAGGCCACTATTTCCTGTTGAGCAATGTACAAACACAAAGTGTTATCTATGTTCATCAAAATTTACAGTG